CCAATCTTCATAACGAAATACAAGACTCGCTAATTTTTTTGATGTTTTTTTATTATTTTATAAATTTTTTCCAATTATTTTATTTTATTTCGACTTAATTTTGTGTATCGCTCACAAACTCGAAATTCACACCCTCAAAACACGCTGTTTATTATATTTAAAAAAATTTTTTCTTATTTCAAAATGTCGTTTCTTATTTTTAAACAAAGCAATAATACTATAATCTAAGAATCATAAACAAAAAAAATTGTTACGAAATACAAATAACATTCAATGCTCACTGAAAATGCAAAGAGATATTTGAACACACATGAAATCAGTAAAATAAAATTTATGTTATGAAATTTGCAAGTGTTATGTTTGGAAAGTTATGAAAAACTAAATATGACAGTTATTAGAATCGAAAATGTTTTAAGTTTTTAGTTGTTTGCTTGTGTACATATTTAGTTGAATTTGAAAGTTATTTGAACATGTAGTTTGTAGTCGAACAAAAAAAAAAAAAATTATTTAAATTGCATTGTTTCTATAGTTTGAAAAGTTATTAGTGAAATTTTGTTATTTCCTCGTTTTTTGCATTAAAAAGGGTTAAACGAATTTAAGGAGTAGCTTGTATTAGTAAAAGGTTACTACTCTCACTTTTCTAAATTATTTTTCTTCCTCTAAAAACTATTAGTTTTATTGTGTTTCCAGTTATAAATGTAAAGAAAAAACACTCCGCTTCAATTTTTTTAATTCGAACCAATTTTAAAAATTAATTATTATTTAAATCTTGATTTTTTTTTTTAGGTATTTTCGAGATTAAAAAGAATTATTATTGCATGCCGAATTTTATTAAATTACTTTATTAACAATTTAAAATAATAATTTAAAATATAAACTTTAACGTAATTAAGAAATTAAACTCTTATTTATGAAGATATTGAGCTGTTGTTACTTTAGGGAGCTTTTCCCGCCACACTAGTATCTATCACGTATTTCCCTCTTGAGCTTGACTATTAGCTTTCATAAGCTTTCAGCACCATTACTTAGCTCTAGAAAATACAGTAAGCGGCAACTGAAAGTTTCCAGCGACCTTATTGTGTATATGTACAAGCTCAACCGAAGGATTAACAAAAGTATGAAATGAGTTTTAATCTATTTAGATCGACCAAAAATTACTTTTATTTTTTTAAATTTTCTTTTTGTAAGCGCGATTGTAACCTCTTGAAAGGAAATCGAGCAAAAAAAAGATTAAATGGAGAGTTAGAGCATTTTAACAAGCTAAGGACAAAATTCCTACTTAAAAGCAAAAACAAAATCATATTTTTTTGGTAATCTTATTCCTATAAAGAAAATATTGCAACCCTCAAATCACCTTTTGATTTGTGAAGAAACGTGATAATTTTTGTTTACTTTTCTTCTTTTTATTTAGTTATATTTTGTTTCGTATAATATTATATTACTTTTTATTAATTAATTCTGTTTATTTTTTTTTAATTCTGAATTGATTAAATTTTATTTTTGTTAATAATAAAATATTTATAATTATTTTCGCTACACGCCATTTAATTAAAATTTATTGAATTTTATTTTATTTTATCTTGCTAAATTTTTTCATTTTTTTTAATAATTTAATTAAAATTATTTCAAATATTGTCCTTTTATTTTATTTTACTTTAAGTTATCTCAATTTGTTAAATTAAATTAAAATATTCATTTAATTAAATTTTTTGGTTAAATTTGTTGCATTTTATTTTAATCTTATTTCATATTATTATATTTAATTTGACCTTCTTTTAATTATGTTTGATTTATTTGATATAATTAAGTTTTATTTTATTTCAATTATTCATTATATTATATTGAGGGTCTAAATTGGTTCAGTCCGTTTCCAAAAGATGGTACTTGGAAGCGATGGCCAATTTCATTAGAAAGGTTTCAGATCTGACAACTATAATTAACCACTGTTTTTGACATCATTGTTCTTGGTTTCTTCGAAAGTGGCCGGATACGTTAAAGTTTTGGTTTTCTGTTTTAATTGGAGGATAGTGCAGCTGAAGACCATTGAATGCCTGTGGAAATTTATGGTGAATCTGCGCCAATTCTTAACCATGCAGAGGGTGGTTTCGATGATTCAAAAGTGGCTTATTTACCATATTTTGACTGATGTGTTATATTTACTTGTCGGCCGCGGTAGCCGAAAGATTAGCGTTGCGTACTGCCGTTCGGAAGACTCGGGTTCGCATTCCCGTGCGGCCAACATCCAAAAGTTATAGAAAATTAATTTAAATAAAAAATTAAGTTAGGTTTTCTAATTGCGATCGACCCTCGGCAGGGAATGTCAACCCCTCCGATTGTATTTCTGAAATGAAAATCAAAACTTTCTCATAAAAAACCATCAGCCGTTCGGAGGCGGCTTAGTGTAAACTGAAGATCTCTCTATTTGTTGGGCAAACATTAAGACGCAAAACCACAATTTGGAGAAGGAGCTCGACCGAAAATCGCTTCAGCGGTTACAAAGTGCCAATTATATATATATATATATATATATATATATATTATATTCACTCAAAAAAGCTTCTATTGATCTCAGTTTGTTTTGTATTACATTTATTATTGCTTAATTTTTTTTTCATTTTACAAATTTATTTTAAATTATTATCGATTATATTTCATCTATTAAATATAATATATATTATATCTTATAAATAAAAAATTATAAAATATAAGCGTTTTTAATTTTTTAGTTATTTTTTTTTTTTTGTCAAAATTAAATTTTAGTTTTGATTTCCTTTTCTTTAACTCATTATTTCACATCATTATATTTTATTTTGTATTAATTTGTTTGAATTCATTGTTTTTTTCCGTTATTAACATTTTATTTGACGTGATTTTATTTTTTGTTTTTATGTTATTTTTTTGTGCTTACGTTATTTTTTTATTTTACTTCTTTTCATTTAAATTATTCTATTTTATTTTACTTTATTTTATTTTAAATTATCTCTGATAATTATATTTTATTTTAGATAAGTTTATTTTATTTTTTGATTTCATTTTATTTTAATATATATTTTTTTACTTACGTTATTTATTTATTGTACTTATTTTCATTTAAATTAATTTATTTTAATTCATCACATTTTATTTTATTTTATCTTCTTTTATTTTATCTCATATTATGATATTATATTTTATTGTACGTATTTAATTTTTTTTCCATATTTTTTAAACATTTTTTTTAATCTAAATGGGATAAATGTACTTACATATGTCTAAATTAAGGTAAGTTCGATCTTTTTGGGGGAAAGTACCCCTCCTCAATATGAAATCGAATATTAAAAATATGCAAAAAACCAGTAAAAAACATTGAAGCTGCCAAAAGAACTTTCACTTGTCGCTCACAGTGTGCATACGTATGTAGTCACCAACACAAACACACCGCCTTATATTTGTAGGTTAAGTCTTGCACCATTTTAAGCTCTTTGTAAGGTGCTTTGCTTCTAAGTCACTGCCAACTTTTCGAGCTGAAGCATTTAGTTCTAGTTGAAACTATGAAAATTACATAAATAAATCAAACATAAAGAATAACAAAATACAATTAAAATTAGTGATGTTTGTTGTTGAAAAATCTTATTAGTATTTGAAATATAATATTAAACAAGTACTTAATTTTTGTTTTGCTGTTAGCTTTATTCACCCACAAACAATTACACTAAATAGCCTAGCCTACAGCTACATACATAAATATTTATAAGTATTAGAAATTCTCTTAGAATTTTTGCGTTTTAAGTTAAGACCATCTCACAAGTGCTGATTAGAATTAAAATTTTAAACCTGTACTGTGATAAATAAAATATCCAACTATGAAATCCAACAATAAGTGTTATAAGATTGTTTGTTAAACCCTTGCTTTTGCGTTTTTTTTTTTAGATATTTTTGTAAGCGCTCAGGCGCTAATTAAGTACGCAATATTTTATGATTTTAAGAATTTTTTCTTTTCATTTTTTTTTTAACTTTTTATTTTAATTTTATAATTTTCAATGCATAGTTTCTTCTTCCTTTTTATTTTGGTGATTTTTCCGTGCATTTGAAATTTTTGCATATCACTTACGCTTAAATAAACATACATACATTACTAGTATTGCATTTATAAACGCTTTGCTCATGCACTATCTAACATACATAAATAGTAAACGCGGGCGTACGACAGCTAAGCCCATATTATTGTATACGTTAACATATTAATCGTTTGGTTCTTTATACATACATATATATTGGCCATTTGCTCCGCTTGTTACTTTAAACTTTTATTTTAATTTCTTGTTTTTACTTCTACTTTGCTTACGATATTTTGTTTTTGCTTTTGCTTTAGCTTTAACTATCCACCTATGGCTTTGTTCATTATACTATACATATGTATATTTTATGTGTGTAAGTGTACATGTAAACTTATGCAACTGTTCGCTGGTGTAGCTGCAGTGCTGCTATATACATACATACAAATATACGTACTTACTTGTAGGTGTGCTTTCCTAAATGAATTTGCAGCGCATTGAAATGCTTTGAAGTAAATTAACGTACATACACGTACATACTCGTATATGCGAAGCTTTGTAAATTTTTATGTTTTTGTAAAACTGCAGTGCGTCTAGCGCATTGGCCATAGAAGTAAATATGTAATACATAATAGTGAAATTTTTATTTAGAATTTTGTTTACATTTATTTTGCTAAAAAAAAATTTTATTTGTAATTTCAAGCGGTAAATTGTTCAATTAGTCATAACGCTAAGAAAAAAATATAATATTTCAAATCTGCATGTCCTTTTTTTTCAAAACAAGAGTAAACTTACAACATTTCATTAATCCACATACATACACCAATACATGCCAAAATTTGTAAAATTAATATTTAATAAGCGAAACTGCAATAAACTCTACGATTAATTTGTTTTTGTTTCTATATAAATATTCGAATATTTACCATATGCATTTTTTGTTATCAACTGTTACCGTTATTTCAGTTTTTCGTGCGTCTGGATCACATACGAAAATGCTTCACCCAGATGGGTGGCATTTTCGTGCTGGAAGAGTTCAGTAAGTATAATTTATTACTGTAATATAAAATAAGGTGAACAATTTCCAAAATGAAAGCAAGAATCTTAGACGAAATGGCGAGCCAGATTTTAACTTAGCGGTCACGACAGATCCAAAACGAACTCTTCAGATAAGGTCACTTACAGGTATTTTGGGTGTAGCATCACACTGACGCCGTCAACCGGCTGTGGACTCGAATGCATCTAGATCTTGAGTTACATAGCAAGGAGAGCGAATTCTCTTTGAAACCAATTAAAGCGACAAATTTACATACTGAGTATGTATGTATGAGGACCTTGTAATCTTCCGTAATGACCGCTTACGCAATTATAGCCGAATTAATGTTAGTGGACCCCATTCATCTCTTCTTTTCGCTGTTTGGATGGAAATACCAAGTGAAGCCAAGTCGCTCTCCACCTAATCCTTCCAACGGAGTGTAGGTCTTCTATTCCTCTGATAAATACTTTCAAAGCTGGAGTGCTTTCATCCATTCGGACTAGACGACCTAGCCAGCGTAGGCGCTGTCTCTTCATTCGTTGGACTATGTCAATGTCATCATATAGCTCGTACAGCTCATCGTTCCATCGGCTGCGGTATTCACCGTTGCCAATGCGCAAAGGACATAAATCGTTCGCAAAACCTTTCTCTCGATGACTCGATATAGTAGGACGAGCTATATAGTAGGACGGGTATGATGAGCGACATGTAGAGTTTGGCTTTCATTCGCCGAGAAAGGACTTTACTTCTCAGTTGCGTGCTCAGTCCAAAGTAGCTCCTTTTGGCAAGAGTGATTTTGCGTTGGATTTCTAGGCTGATATTGTTGTTGGTGTTAATATTGTTTCCTACATAGACGAAGTTATCTCCGACTTCAAAGTTATGACTGTCCACAGTGACGAGGAAGCCGAGTCGCGAATGCGACGACTGTTTGTTTGATGACAGCAGATATTTCCTCTTGCCCTCACTCATTAAATTTTGATTAAATGAAAGTCTCAGGTGTTTTAGTAGCAAGAAAATATAAAAATATATACTTTCCTGAATGCGAACGCGCATCTTTTGAATATACGAGTATGTATGTGCCAACACCTCGCGGATATCTGAATGAAATTTAAATGAAGCTTTTTCGAAGCTGATTTAAAATTGTGGATCTGATTTAGCCTCTTCTTTTCTCCTCACTTAAGTCGTCTCTCCCTTTTTCCTGTTTGGTGCCAACTGCAGACACTAAGTAAAGAGTTTCTACCTAATCTTTCCAACGGAGAGGAAGTCCTTCTCGTCATCTGCATTCGAAGCTGCATTGCTCTCATCAATCCAGACAAATTAACCTAGATGCTGTTTTTGATTTCGTCGTATATCTCGTACAACTCGTCATTACTTCGACTGATAGATAGATGAAATTAACTGCGACTTTGAAGTTATGATTGCCAACAAGGACTTGAGCTGGCTACCAGCCATATCCGCTTTACCTCCTAGTCTAGTTTGGAGGATGCAAAACTAACGGTGTAAATTTCTTTCGGTTGCAATTTTATAAAACATTACACCTGCTCTGAAATCTCGTACAGTATCGAACGACTCGCAGAAGTATTTCTGATTCTAGTGAAGGCCTTGATGTTACTTAGCGTTAGATTACTCAAATCCGAAGATTTTTCGGGGTACAAAATGTGACGTAGAGGCAGCTCCTTTTAGTGGTGTCGAAGGCCGCTTTAAAATCGGCAAAGAGGACTTACCAGTTTTGAGCCCGGAGTGATAAGGTCCAATCGTTTCGTTCGTGAAGGAGGTATTGGAGGCTCTCCCAAACCGAAGAAAAGCTCTACCAAAGCTACTCTCGCTACAGAGATACGTAAAATAGGAGATAAATAGAATTTATATTTGAAGCAACTTTCGGGAATCTCGATATAATGTCTATAAAAATGATGTGATCAATGTCTGAAGACCTGGGTTGATTGCAGACTTTTTGCGACACCTATAGGATTACCCAAAGCTTTGTACGTCACAGTTAAACTAACACAAGGGTGGCACACAAAACCGTGAAGCGTTCCACATTTTTGTACTGAGCGTACTCAATGGTTAGGTCCTTAGCCTCCCCTTTCAACCAGCCAAGTAAGACTATTTGGTTGAAAGCCATGACCACGGACCGAATTCGAGAGTACTTTTGATTGAGTAAACTGCTTAAAACTTCTAAAACAAATGGTAGCTTCGTATTTGACAGTGTAAATTAATACGAACAAGTCACATTGCTATGAGCATCACTCAAGCAAAATGCTTACCTACTGCTGCCATTGAACAAAATGAGACATTTCTATCAGTAGCGCAGGTTTTTTTGTAATTTGTAAATAATTAACCATGTATACATTGGTAATTAGTAAAATAATACCGAGTTAATTACTCATTTTCTTTCCAGATCCCAAAACGAGACATATTATTCAACGAAGATATAAATCTAAACTGGTAAGTGCGATAATTTTGTCTGATCAGGCATTACCAGAAGTTAAATTTTGTAAAATATCTTGACGTCATTAGAAAAAGTTTCTCTTTCATCTTTAACACATTCATGAAAAAATTGAATTTTAGTATTTTGTAATATAACACCAAAATTAAATTAATTATCTACCGAAAAACAAATTTCAAATTCCATCTATTAAATTTGATTTATTTTTTCATATATGTTTTTGGTAAATCCGAGGAGTAAAAAAATACGATAAAACATTTAATTTGAAATTCAAGCCTCCCCAAGTCATTGCTGCTTATAGCTCAACCAGTAGCTTCCCGTACCTTCCGTCTGCAAGAAAAAACATTGTATAAAATTGTGACCGTAGCTTTCACAGGCGAAGTGAGCTGTTGTGTGGTTTTATAAGCTCGAATCTAAACGCCCATCAAATATACTTGAGCTTAATTGTATTAAATAATTAATTACAATTTCAGTTTCCATTTCCTTACAAACATATTGCATTTGCTTTATTTATTTCAATTTCATTATTAAAATTCTGTACTCTCACTATTGTACAATGAATCGCTTTTGGTTAATCTTTTACGTCTTCTAGCACTAGCAACTTTTCATTTACATCGCATTCTCAAAAGACATACATTATCAGCTGAGTCGGCGAGGTTTTAAGACTGTTATTAACATTTCCGGCTTTCAAGCAAGCAAAATTATGAAAGGAAATTTAAATGATAGCCTTACCTTGGAAAATTTTAATTTGAATCGCTTGATCAGACTGTGGAAGACCTGTTGCGATGGGTAGGCTTTTGACACAAGCAAGAGTTTGAGGAGGATGAGGATTATTTACATCTCTTTAGCCTTTTTGGAACAACAAACAAATCTCAAGATTGAGAGAAACTTCTTTTCAAATAAAGGTAGCTTCCAAAGATAGAAATCACGCTACAGAACTCAAATCTTCAATAGTTGCTAGTAACTTCCAATATGCATACGTTCTAAAGCTTTTTAATGAACTTTTTTGGTGACATTAACTTGTGTATGCAAAATACTTTCGGGCAGTTTATAGATAATAAATATAGGAATTGTAAACGTCGAGACAGTAATTCTTACGCAAGGTCCGCTTCAGCGGAGATTTGAAGGGTATATAAAAAGCGTCAGCCAAGCCCAAAAGGTCGCACTCCTCCGCCATGCGAAAAAATCGGGTTTATATATGTAGGGTTCACAGTCAATTAAATTCTTCAAAAACACTTTTACGCCATTTGCAATTAAAATCAATATATTTGCATTAAATTCATTTAATATTTATTTAATATTTACTTAACATTTTTCTTTAATATAACTTTACAGATTTTTTAATATTAACTTAAATAACTTTAGAAATGCTACTCGACTCCTCAACGCTTCAAATTACACTGAACTTTTGTATCAATGTTCCTTTATCCGTTATTTTATGTCCGTCACCCAAGCATCGTCCAGTCAGTGTTCCCGTCAATACAGTTCAGGGATGCATTTATTAGGATCCCACATATATAGTAGCTGCCCTTTGCCCTTTCCCTTACATATTGCTTTCACCCAAATCTCATCTTATTTCAACTTTCGCTGCAACTTCTTTAAAAACGCATCCGGGAAACAGATTTTCAAGACTTTTATGTATATCTTATAATGTCCTATGAGTCTGAAGCTAATTTAAAGAAAATTATTTTGTTTACGCGTCACCTGTAAAGCTCTGTGACAGCTCGCTGGGTGGCTGTCATGAGAAATATCTTTGATAAATTCACATATACGAGGTGTGACACTTAAGTAATGAGACTGATTCCATAAAAACCGTATATTTTTAAATTATTCTAAAAATCTGCTATCCGCTTTAAAACAGTTCCCTTTTGCAGTTATTCAACGAGCGTTATCCAGAGCGTTTTCCATACTTTGTTACATTTCTGGAACGTTCCAACAGGAATGTCCGCGAGCACCCTCATCATGGCCGCTTAGATGTCCTCAATCGACTCAAAATGGTTTCCTTTGACCACCGATTTCGTTCTATGGAACAAGAAAAAAGTCACAGGGTGACATATCGGGAGAATAACGCAGTTGTTGCAATACGGCAATCCCTTTAGAGGCCAAATACTGGAACACGCTGAGGGCGGTGTGGCTCGGTGCATTGTCGTGATGAAGGATTCAGTTACGAGCGATGCTTGGGCTCACCTTATTGACTCGTTTTCGCAATATTTCGAGTACTTGTTATTGATTTACGGTTTTAATTTAGCGCAAAATTTTATCACGACGCGTTGCTCTTGACTTCGCTTTTCCAATAGAGTGATGAGCACCACGAACGCACGTTTACTCAACACGACACAGCAGGCGAACTAAACAAGCTAGAGCGATGAAAAATATATCAATGGAGAGGAGAAGGATGCCGAGGAAGCGAATGGGAATTTCAAGGTGGCTGGGCAATATAATCAGTCTCACCTCGTATCTTTTTTCGCTTCCGTGAATAACAGATATTATCTAAGCGGGTTGGGGAGAATGTGAAATGTGTTCAAGTTGAGCACTAGGTGGTCTTTAACTAATGCCATAGGAGCCACCTGACGCTGCGCAGACGCCAATCGCTTACTCATGGAGCATGGATGGGAAGACGCAAAAATGGCAAAAATAAACTCGTATGGCTTGACACTCCCGGCGACCGCACTTTCAAAACGAATTCCTTTTTTAGATTTGATAAATAACATTAATATTTCGTACCTGATGAATTTCAACTGTTCCATGCCGTTTTTATGTAAGATTTGGGAACTCACAGAGAAAGTGGTAATTGTTTTATTGATTCACTCTAAGTTGCTACAATGGCTTTCATAGGACAGACCCATTTTTATACATTCTCGCCGAAAGACCTGTGAATATTTATTGTGGCTGTAATACAATATAAGTTTTTCTAGATCTATTTAATAGGCTCTTTGCTCCTGTCCTGTCTTACTTTACCTAAATCAGCCTTTCCATCCTGCAGCTGGGTATGGATTTCCATTGGTAATAGCACCAACTTACTCAAATTGCAAAAGAAACTTTGTCCTCATGGTTTCCAAATGACATGGTATTAAATCATCTTTTACGTTACTGAAAATGTTTTTATGCTGAGAACCGGAATGTGTAGATGTCCTCGATGTTTGAATATACTTTGGCGAAGATAAGATAGTGAATGTGGTTGGCTAACCGAGTACATAGGTGATTATCTTCTAAATTCCCTGGTATCAATTCATAAGAGCTCTGCAGACCACGTTTATACTTAGTTCTTCCGCTTAAAAGACGCTTGCTGAGTTTGGTAGGCCAAAGGGAGATTTTAGGATGTTCGGAGTATACACCAGCACCCGGCTCACATTCCGTTTTAGACCCATCACGGTATAAAATCTTTTGAAATAAGCCAGCTTTACTTCTTCGCCGGTATGGAAAGTAGAATTGGGCCTGTCATATTTTTACGGTAGATGCTCTTTAGGCATGTGAATTCCGGGCATAGACGAAAGTAAGTTTTGAATCTGCTACGTGGTTTTGATTAGAATATCTATGTTAACTCGGACTTACCAAAAGCACTTAGAATAACATATATAAAACAATAATAATTTTTTAAAAACTTAATTTTTATTTTGTTTTTATCTTTATTGTCATACATGTACATATATATTCACAACTCCGTCACCAACACCATCACCATCACCACAACCACCATAATCACCGACATTAATAAAACCCCACTCGTACATATCTAACTAAACACATCTCTTTCAAATATAACCGTTAAAATGTATATAATATCGTCCCATAACAACAACAACAACGTATTAACTATATATTTATGCATTTGCTGTGTGGGTGTTTTGTATGTGGGCGTGTGCATGTACATCAATCCACGTGCTGGTCCTTATATAAATATCGTTACACACATATAAACATCCAAATGTACATATCTTAATATATCTTCGACGCACCAAAAAACAAAAACTAACAACGTTCAAACAACTAAAACTACAACGGCAACAAATGTGCATAAAATAAAAAAGGTGCCAGTTGGATATATGCTACACTATTTCACCCGCATACTCTCCTTGGCTTACGACCTGCAACAACGTCCTTTGGAGGATCGCAAACAAGGAAAGGACGATGAAAAAGCGATGATTGAAGAACCAAAGGTTACTCCTGTAGTGGTGCTGCAGAGCGCCGAAGAGGTGCCGGAGGAACCGGATATTTTGGAAGACTTGGTAATTGAAGTTCCGAAACTAGTCACGAAACAGTCGACCGAGAGACGTGATGTAACCGCCGAAAAGGCGAATGAACTGCCAGAACCTATCACAGAAGAGTTAAGCCAAGAGCGAGAGGGGCTACAATCTGATGTGACTGACTTGCGTGATGCTGCCGCTGCGGTGTTAATGCTCCAACCAGAAGTTGCCGCGCCAGAGTTGCCAGAAGTTCTCTGCGGCGCGAATGCTGTAACACGCTCTGCAGACAAAGAACATTTGGCAGAGGCAGAAGTGCTCTCAAGCAGCACTACGCCCCAAGCTGAAAAACCAAACTGAAAATCATAGTTAATTTCAACTGTAATCAATTTTTAAACTGTGATAAAAATCCAAAGAGCACTAAGCTACAAGCAAACCATATACAACTTACGTTAACAACAACACCAAAAGCCAGAATAACTAAATAACGATTTATATTGGAAATCAATCTTGTAAAACGCTGCCTCATTTTGTGCCGTGTTGATTTTAGTCACATTTTTATACATAATAACACTATTAACAAATACCGTTATTTTTCTACTATTACTACTAAAATTTATTATAAATTAAGTATTTTAAATGCCAAGCAAAACAAAACGAAAACACAACACAATCCCAAAAAAGTCTGTCTTCAATTTTTCTACTCTAAAAAATGTTTGTATGCTTTTTTAAAATTATTCAGCTAAATAAAATAAAACAATTAAAATAAAAAAAGACACTAAAATTTAATCTTAAGTGAATTTCGTAAAAAATAAAAAATAAAATTTACAGCAAAATCATGCCTTGTTTATAGCTTTGTGTATGTATGTAATACTTAAACAATTTAGAAATTATTATTAAATAAAAGAAATGCTTTTTATAATTAAAACCCAAGCCAAAAGATAAAAACTAAAAATGTCTTTCTTTATCTGGAATACCGTGTTACTGTACAGCGCCTTTGTATATTTATGTGAATTCGTATATATCGTATGTACGTGTACGCCTAACATTGTTATTATGGTTATTAAACAATTTTATAAGCATATTTAAAACTAACATTTGCATTTCTGTTCTAGACTTTGACACTTCTTTTTTATTAAACAAAAATTTATATCTGCTGGCTTTCCTTGACTTGGCTTACTTTGGATGGCCAAACAGCCACTTTGAACGCTGTAATAATCAATACGATTCGGCCGACGCGGCAACCATGGTTTGAAATATCTACATACTCTCAGAAGCACAGGCGAATAGGACATCCATTAGAAACTTTTATTTACAAATAGTTTTAATCTTCTTCGCCATCCAACTCAATTTCTAAATAATCAATAGAATCATCAGCAGAGTCCGAATCTTCTTTTCCCTTTGCTGACCTGACTTTTTTATAGTTTGGTAGAGGTGGGCATTTGAAAGATTCATTACATCTGCCGGCAGGAGTTTTTTCTTTAATTTTTTTTTGTTTTTTTTTTTTTTTTGCCTTTCACCCAAACAAATACTTGATATTAATGGATCGGAAGAAACCATAGCTCTATAGAAAACATCGCTGTTATTTTTTAAGCGCAATTTTTTCAGGCATCGTTTTTATGGGCCTTGGGCCTTGCTTCTGAGGCATTTTCTCCTAAACATCCAACCGGAACCAAAGACGAGTTAATTATTTGCCAACCATTTCCTAATATTTCATGTACTGTCGGTGATATAGGATACCAGGGAAAAGTATTATCATATAATAAAAATGTTATAAAATGCCTTGAACTTATCAACATCAATAACGATCAAAACTACATACAAATTGTATTAAATATTTTGGTATAATTTTGTTAATGATGGCAAAAAGTTGGTAATTTGCGAATACTTTCAAGCTGTGTTTCCAGCAATACTATTCCCCTTCCGTTCTTATAGGGAATGCAAGACCATTTTTGACCACATAATTTCCGGAATTTCCTTTTTCCGAGTTATTATTTGGACTTTATTAGCCTGGAAAATATGTCACTTTTGAACTTCAAGTCAATCGAATCCAGGCATGCAATGGACTGACACCATATTTCAGAGTCGCAGGTCTTTGGCTTAAAGCATACGGAGCCGCAATCAGTGGTTTCGAGGAGATTTTTTGGGTTAACCTAACATATTGGGCAACACTGAGTTGATGGCGTACCAGTTAAAGCGTGCAGTTAAAGTTCTTTTCTATCAATAAATGTCATCTGTGGTTTTAAGGTAATGACAATTGTTACGCCTTCTTTTATAAATATTAAATCCTGTAGACCAGCAACTTCTTGCATATCCAAATATTCCTTTTTTCTTACTATTTTCTCATGGATGTCCTTTGTAGTTCGCCCAACTGAAACAATGTCGCCGTATTCACCGTTTCCAACACACAGAGGAGACAGGAAAAAAACTTTTCCCCCGAAAGCTTTTAACGGCGACTCTTCAATGTTGTCATCGTCCATGCCTCCATGCCACCTGCAATATAACAGGACGTGCACGATGAGCGACTTGTAGAGTTTGGTCTATTTATTGTTGTGGATAATGCGCATTCTCAGAGATGCGGTACAGTGCGCACCGCAGACACTTTTGCTGGTGTGGAGTAAAGTGTAGAAGAAGATCCCAATGAGCCGATGATGTCCACGAGTCATTGTTGAGACACCGCTACATCCTCAAAAAGTCACTGCTTGGTATGCTTTATTACCAGAGGGAATCATTGGTTCATATTTATTAAAAAATGAAGCCGACCTTAATGTGAGAGTCAGAGTTCAATGACTTTTTCGTGTCTGAATCTGAAGATGTTGATGTTGACGACCTCTGGTTCACACAAGACCGCGTTCAATGCCATACCACCAACGAAATAGCCAATTTATTGAAAGACATTTTTGGTGAGCGCATTATCTCGAGTCGAGGGTCTATGACGTGGGCTCCTGTAATATATGTATGTAAAATCGGTTGTCTTCGATTGATGCCTTGTAGGAGAATATTCAGCCCGTTTTTGCTGACATACGGTCCAAAATGCTGCAAGGAATAGTCGGAAATTGAGCTTCTCGGCTACAATTATGCAAAAAATGAGCTGAAGGCATGAAATTGTCTGCTTTTGTTAAAAAATAAAAAAAGTGTTGAAATGTAGGGCATTAAATCTTGTAAACTCAGTATTATTAATATAAGCCAGGAGCAAATATTGTATTTGGAAAATTTTAAGATTACATTTTGCGAAACCTATGAATAGAAACCATTTCCATTTTAAATAATTTCTTAGATGGAAAAATATCATCAGCTTCCCATGGTTCCACTAATATTTATAAAAATTGTGCAAATTTTTAATCTCAATTTTTTTTTTTAATTTTTTTTTAAATTTTTTTTCCGATTTCTTTGATTTTTGATGTGAAAATTTCAATAAATTATAATTAATTTTAAATATATCGCATCTCGCAGTGAAAAATATCACTAAAAAATTTTATTTTAAGGTGCAATGCGAATATATGTATATAAAAAAATACTGAAACGAATTATGTAATTTAAAAATTGTATCATATATTTGAAGAAATGATTCAAAATTTCGTATTAACCCCCCAAAGCCATGCTAAATTTCTTCGATTTTTAGTTAGACTGAAAATTAAACGAATGAAATAAATTTTCTTTCGATGTATGTATTTCATACGGATACGTAGAATAGAAGAATAAATAAATTTATGAAAAAAAATACAGATTTGATGTTCTCGCTTTATTTAAACTAAATACTTTTCATGAAATTAGTGTGAATATAACATTTGATTTTATTTATTTTTTTTCCACTACATTAACAGAAATGCAGATGACTTATGTATTTTTAAATGTATGTGTAAATATTGATAAATGTAAATATAAAAAAAAAATAAAAAATGTGGAAAATTCCATCTCTAAATCTTGTTCTCTTTCCTTATTATTAAAAACCACTTTCTTCACTCTCTCTCTCTCATCTCCAAGGCTGACCAGATTTGCTATGCGGTTTTGTGCGTTTTTTCCTATGTCGCCGCTGGGCAGGAGCAAAAGAAGAATCCTGTTGTTATCACACCGCAAATACAGGATATACATGCGCAGCAAAAACAGCAACACGCACAACAGCAAAAGCAATTACAACAACAACAACATCAGCAACAGCAGCAGCAAGCACATCCGAGCACCAGCAGCGGCGCGACCAGCCCGCGTTCAATGCCACCACAAACGACGTCGATGCCAAAGCAAACAGCAGCAGCGCCAACAACAACACATTTACCACCATCACAGGGTGCTGGAAAGAATGCGACCGTCACTATCCGCCACACCATGCCAATGCAAAAGCCCACAGTAACAACGTCAACGGTGCAGCCGCATGCCCAATTGCCACACGCTTCGTACGCATCGCCAGCCACAATCACCACAGCACCTGCCACATCAACAGTGACCATGGCAGGCGGCGTAATGCAACAACAGCATCATCAAGCAAGCGGCCATCAACAGGTGTCACCGATTTCACCACTCCAACAGCATCCCCACGCGCACGCAAATCAGCAGCAGGCTCATCAACAGAGTCCACCCGCTCACCACGTGGCCTCACACAGTCCAGTTAGTCGCACTAGCAGCAGCGGCAGCACCACCGGTCCGCTGCCACAGCTACCACCACGTGTGCCCTCACAAGCCTCCACCGAGAGCTTACACGCCTCACCATCTGCTGCCAAAGCGCGTGCTCCACCCGTTGGTCCACCACCCGCAATACCCCCACGCACCGGTGCTATCGCACGTGCTGGCTCCTTACAAGTACACTCCGCAGCGGCTGCGGCAGCAACATCTTCGGCAGCAAGCAATGCATTGTCAGGCGCACGTAACTTTGTACGCCAAATATCAGCCAGTTCAACGCCACCACAATATACACCCCAGCCACCACCGAAATTCGTTATACCCAAGCGACGCACCTCATTGTCGCGTGCCTCGTCGGTGGCGTGTTCGAGTTCGGCCAGTGCACAAGCAGCTGGCGCGATGGGTGTTGTAGGTGGTGGCGGTCAACGACCTTCATATGGCAGTATAAGCATGGGTGCGTCCCACCAACTACAACAACATCAGCCCCAGTATCACTACCAACCTCAGCAGCAGCAGCAACAGCAGGCGCTACAACAACAACAGCAGCAACAATCGCCCGGTGCCAGTGGTGGCAACCAACACTGACGAAGGAGTTCGTTCTTTCGTTTTAGCAGCAGTGGTGGCGGCAGCGGTGGTGGCGGTGGTCATGCGGGTGTTGAACCGCACCCACGTGGTGAGGTCTGTCGCACCATTTGCATTCCATGGCTCTGAAAGAGCGAAAGCGACAAGGTCACAGACAATAGTATGCATAAACATTGGCTGCTTAACTTCTCCACTACTTAACTGAGCTTTACATAAGTAAGTAAATAAAAAGATTTGAAAGAAAAAAAAATACTGTGAGATATGCTGCAGGAAAGACTCGCACCTGCTTGCAAATAAAGAATCATAAAAATGTAAGAAATAATTTTTTTTTGGAAATATTTTAATTATTATAAATACTTTATTTGGTTTCTCGAAAGATTCCTTATGGACTTTTACCAAGAGAAGGCATTCACGTAAGGGTTTCAGATACTCGCATATTGAGCGGTGTCAAGAGCTCAATACTCGCTCGAAACTCGAAACAAAACGTTGAGCTTTAGGTAACTCGGAATAAAGTATTACCTATTACGGTTTTACAAATGTATGAAAAATTCCCACAACCTTTAGTTCGAAACCGAAGGTTGTCTCAAGAGTTTCATTCGCTTCTGGGGCCTTCACGGCCCAAGACTTAAAGTTCAGTTAATCATGTTGCAGGGATCTCATAACTGGATCTTAAAAGCTTTTTTATATTCTTTTTTTTTTACAAAAGTTCAAATTATCCTTTCTTAAACGAATTCTTACATGTAATTTTCAAAGCCAAATAAGAACCACGAACCTTGCTCTCGGAACATTGAAATGAGATATGCAGTTTATTGCGCGAAGGCGGTCCTGATTTTTCCACACTTGGTGAAAACAATGAAATTAAAATTTTCTAATATATCTTGTAATCTTTTGGCACTCGAACTACAAAGGAGCATTTAGCAGATTATGGAATACATGGAAAGCAACTATAAAAGCTAGCAAGTTGGGTTGATATAATGCGCTTAATAACTTTTATTTTTTTTTTCTTCTTTATGAAATATTTTATTCGGGTCTACATAAGCTGAATCCAATTTCATACCAATACGAAGCTAAATAAGGATACAAATTCCTCTTTCAGTACTTCAGTATTTTTGATGCTACCGTCAGTATGTAAGGGCGCCTTCAACGCTAAGCCTTTCTTGGGGATAGCATATGAAGCACGTCCGTACACGAATTTCATTCGTTTGCAGTCAATTCCCACTCGTTTATTGGATTTCACAATGAATTTTAAAATTTTTTCTTAATAAGCCAGCTTTTAAACAAACGTAAATTAAACTTGTTTTACGTAAGCTTTCCTTAGAGTAAATGACGAGCTTTACTACTTTAGGTTAGGAAAATCAAAGCTCCTACACACAGCAATCTCTGTCAAATCTCTTTCATAATCTGTAAACTGCTCATGTCTCCCTTACAATAAATAACACCCTGAATACAATTATCAAAAACACCATTTAGCACTTCAAACTGTGAATTCTCATAAGAACAGATGCCATTATAAAGAACACATTTACCCTTTTAGTTAAATATCATAATTTAATTTGAGTCAAATTTACGGTCATATAAAAAAATATTCCATTTATCAAGGTATTTATATCCTCTTAATTGCTTTTTAGACCTCTTAATTGTTAGTTTCCATTGACTATTTATTTTTCCCATTTACACGTATGTATGTGCTATAGCATGTACGAATAACTGTATATTTTTTTGTTTCAAAAAATAAGATGGCTTGGAATAATTTTTTTTTTCGATTTCTATAAATTTTATTTTGAAGCAGGCTAATGCTGTAGGATGTGGTTCGAGTTTTGACTGCTAGTGTACTCATTGCTTTAAAATTGAAAAGGTGAATTTATTGTTGTATAAAAACTAAAAATTTACTACTATATAAAGCATATATAATCTTATAATAAACATTTCTTGGCTATAAATTATCTTGACGTTCTATGTCCAAAAAAAAAAAACAGTTTTCTCTTGCTTCTACGAGTTTAAACTAATTGAATATTATTGTAAATGTGAAGAAGAGGTAAAAAGCACTTTGTAAATATATCGAAACAAGAACAATATTAACAAACATAATAAAACAAATCTGTATGTAATATGTAAATAGGATGAATCGGTGACAGAAAGACTTAAATAAGATAAAAAATAATATTAAGGAATTAAACAAGGAACATAAACAAGGAACATAAAAAAATTTTATTAAGGAGAAATATAATAAATAAATATAATAAATGAAAATGAGGTAAAAAAGGATTAAAAAATAAAATGAATTGAAAAAAAACGAAATAAATTAAAGTGCATAAAATAAAAATAAAGTAAATAACAAATAATAAAATAAAACAAAATAAAATATCAGAAAAAAATAAGGTTAAGGAAACAATATTATTGAAATAAATTTAAATAAAATGAAGAAAAAAAATTAAATTAATTAATAAGATATTTTAATTAAAAATACTAAATAATAAATCAATAAATATATTATATAATATATTAATTAAATTAATATAAAAAAACAAGATGAAAGAAAATAAAATTAATTAAGATAAAACGAAATAATAATGTTAATTAAATTAAAAATAATTAAATCATATTAAAAATAAAAATAAAATAATGAAATGAAATAAAAAATAGAACAATTTGTTAGCTTAGCTAAATTAAATAAAAAATAAAAATATTAAATAATATATGTTGTCAAATAGCTTTTTTGCTCTTCATTCAATGCTTTATAAAAAAGTGTTACAGTGATCGGATTTAGTTAAAATATGCGCCATTTTGGTCGATGATCTGTTTCCATCTAGACGGCAACTTCATAATACCTTCCTCGTAGAAGCCCCCCTCCTTATTTGCGAAGAATTCGGACAGCCACTTTTCACAAGCCTCTTTTGAGTTCAACTTCACACCACCAAGGGCATTCGCCATGGACAGGAACAGGTGGTAATCACTTGACACTACGTCCGGGCTATATGGTGGATGCGATAAAAACCTCCCATTCGAACTCCCGTAGCTTCTGACGAGTCATCAACGAAGTGTATGGTCTGGCGTTGTCCTGGTGGAACACTACACCCTTCCTGTTGGCCAATTCTGGACGCTTCTGGTCGATCGCCTGCTTCAAGCGGTCCAGTTGTTCGCAGTATATGGTAGAATTAAGCGTCTGGCCATATGGGAGCAGCTCATAGTGGATGATTCCCTTCCAATCCCACCAAACACACAGAAAAACCTTCCTGGCCGTCAATCCCGGCTTGGCCACTGTTTGGGACGATTCACCGGCCTTCGACCACAACCGTTTTCGCTTGATATTATCGTATGTGATCCATTTTTCGTCGCCAGTCCCCATCCGCTTCAAGTATGGGTCGAGTTCGTTCCGTTTCAGCAGCATATCACAGGCGTTGATTGCGTCAAATTATGCGGCACCCAAACATCAAACTTTTTTTGTATCCAGCCTTCTGCAGATGGTTCAAAATGGTTTGGTGACTAACTCCCATCTCCTGGGCGATGTCACGAGATGCCATATGCCGGTCTAACTCGATGTATTCCATTATTTGATCGGTATTTGTCGTCACAGGTCTTCCGCCGGCTGGCTTATCCATGGGGTCGTTTTCACAGGCTCTGAATCGTCGAAACCATTCCTCCGCGGTTCGAAGTGATAGAGTAGTATCCTCCAAAACACCATTAATCTCACGAAACGTTTCTCTAGCGGATTTGCCTTTAACGATGGAAAACTTTAAAATAGCGCTAATTTCGGCGTTAGTGAACTCTATGTTTACACGTCTATAACTGATGAACGCAATATCCAAACTAATCATACCGTTGTTTTGTATGTTATGTCAAGACCTTTCAAATTATGTATAGTGTTGTCAGATACGAGCTCTGTAGCGCTTTGTACATAGCCGCGAAATTCAAAAGACAAAAAAGCGGAAGGATAAAATAATACGAAAAATTAAATAAAATAAAGTAAAATAAAGCTAAATTAAATCTACGAAAATGGGATTTAAAATAAATAAATGAAATAAAACAAAACCCATTGAAATTAAAACAAAAATAAAATGAAAAATTGAATGAATTCAAATACAATAAAATACTACAATATATAACAAAAACTTAAATGTGGTAAAAAATTAAGCTGAAAAAAATAAAACGGTAAAATTAAAATAATTATAAAATAAAATGTCATAAAATAAAAAATTAAATTATCTAAAATTAAAAGAATTTAAAAATACCCAATAAAAAACTGATCAAATATTAAGGTTCCGGTGTTGCTGAATTGTAAACGCACAAATAAAATGACAAAAATATGTAAGAAAGTTACTGTTACAAACACATACAAATCACTTAAAGTCTACACATATTCACGTATGAAATCTATTAAACAAAAATTTAATAAGGGTCTTGAAAATACAAAATACACTTAAGTGCATTACGTAAAATATCAAATTTTGACAAAATTACAATTTAATTGGCACTTAAATTAATATCAGAATTGAATAAACTGCACGATGAGATTTTCAGTCCAATATTTTTAACTTGCAAATGTTGGCTAGAAATAAAATTTGTAATTACTTTTGCATATTATTGCTTTCTTTTTTAGAACTCGCAGAAGAGTATATGAAATCCAAATTAAAGAAAAGCTCGTGTCTCTTACATGCGCCAGTTTACTGCGCCTGGTGAAGACAATACCGGCATTATTCTGTCAACTGAGAATGGTTTCAATCACCTTTAATGCTGAGAAAACTATCCTTGTCACTTGAATCCTTCTATCAAAGAAAAATAGTGAATATTACATCATCAGTTTTTTTCACAACTCCAGCATAACGCTCAGCTAATACTCTATAAATTCTATCTGACCTTCAATATTTTCATGGGTTCCAGCTCAGTTGAAAGTCGCATTTACACAGCATATTCGCTTATAAATCCACGTTTTTCAACGGTTATAACGTGTTTCATGAATGTGGACTCAGCATTAACTCGGTCTAGCACGTTTTCAGTTTAACAAACTCAATGAACTGGTTTTAAGGGATCAATTCAAGGGTCTTGTTTATAGGATATAAAACTAAAAGGTGAGGGACCATAAATACTAGTTACAACTGGATGTGTAAAACTGTTATTCCAATATGAGTCCAAAACGAGCAGGTAAGTAATATCTAGGAGGCCACGGAGGCTTTTGTATCTCTAAACTAAGAAATTATTTATATTCCGTCCTGTGAGAACATGATATTTCTACTGTTTCCCTTATTATTGTTAATGTCAGAAAAGACAAACACGCCAGAGGCCCAAAACTGTAACCTCTTCTCCAAAGGTTTCAAGGGGAGCTATGTAATATATACTATGTTAAGTTCCTGTCTTCTGATCGGCACTGACAAAAATAAATTGGAAACGAAATTCATCTGCTTACCAAATTCGGTTGAAACAAAAAAAATGCAACCAACTTAATACAAATTACTTTTTAATTCAAAACTTTTAAAGTTGCTTTTGTTTCAAGAATATTGTGCAAAGCAAATTAACATGATTTTTAACAATGTGGTAAATCATACATTTATTCCGAGGGATGTATGAATGTATTTATTTTAAGGACCCAAAATTTAATCAGTGCCCGATTAGTGAATGGAATTAGTTATGTTTAAAGAAGCATAAAAGTGTTAATTAATTAGTTGTATATTCCTATTAGCGGCCAATATTTGTTATTTACTTACATTTATGCGTATATAGAGCAATAGAACTTAAAGAAATCATCAAAAAGTTCCATAATCAGCTTTAAAAAGTAATTACATTAAATGTTTCCTCGTGCTGCTTGTAATAGATAGGAAAATCGCGTAATCCTAAATGGGAAGAAGCCTAATCAGTGTGTAAAAGATTTAAAAAAAATACATATACATACATAGATTGATGTTGTTATTGAGTAGCATGCAAAAGTAGACGTATGGCATAATTTAATAAAAATTGTCTGTAAATGAAAAGAAAAATTGCAATCAAACCAAAGACATTAGTTAAAAAATAATTTATTTCAAATTTCAGTTTTGAACTCTCATATTAAGAGTTTATTATTTAAAAAAAAAAATTTTGAACCTATTTTCAATTTTATTTCATTAACAATTTGTCATTAAAAATACATAAAAATTCATAAAAAATCACAAAAAAAAGCAAAACTAGTTCTAAAGAGTGTTAAATACTGAACTCGATTATGATGTTTGAAAATCATGCGTTAAAAAAACACGTATAAATGATTATTTATGTATTTAGGTATGTTAATTTGAAACAAAATATCAAGATATATGTATGAAAATGAATAGAAAATTAAGCAAATGAGCACAAACTGACAAATGCAATTGAAGGCAATCTAGCTAGGGAATGTGTGTATGTAATACAATGAAATAACTGTAGGTATAGAAATAACAATTTATATATACGTGTATGTATGTAATTAATTGTGTTTGGTGTGTAATTAATACAATTAACTTTGTTGATATACATAAACATTAATATGTATATGCAATATAACGATGAACAAAGAAAATAATAAAATTTACATAATAAAAGCGAAACACTAAAAATATATAAATGAACAAAAAAAATTAAGGTTAAAAAGTAAAAAACGAAAATATTTAAAAAAAAAGAAATAAAAATGACAAATGAAAATAAATAAAAACATGAAATAATAAATTAAAAAAAATATATTAATTAACATAAAGGACATAAATTAAAAATAAAAAACTAATAAAAGGTAACAAGTAATTAGAATATATAAAAAATAATTATATTAAAATTTGTAAAATTTAAAATATACATATTGTCTAGAAACTCTAAAAAAAGAAAAAAGTTAAAAAAGTAATAGATTATAAAAGAAGTAATTATTTGCATAATCAAACTCAAAAACTATGAAGCTTTGCAAAAGGAATTGTCAGGGATAACCAGCTAATAATAACAAAAAATAAAAATTGATTAGAAAATGTGAATATGGTAAATTTTGAGCATAATTAAGCATTACAAGGGGATTAAGTGGCACTCAGCGCTGGAAACGCAAGGATTGAGATACAAAAAAGTAAAATCACAAAATGATAAAAACAAGACTCAATCACACTACTTGTACTTGTATGTAGGACATAATTGCCTATTGGATTACAAAAAAAAATTAAAATAAATAAATAAAGCAAACAATTTAAATACCCAACCCAAAATTATAAATAAAAAAAAAATTGTATTTATGTATTTAAATTTATTTTTAATAAAAATTTGGGTTTACACACTCACATTGTATTAACAGTAAATAAAAGTTCAAATTTGAAATTAGTAAAATAAAGAAAAACTATGCTAAAAAATATATATGTTATGTATATCTATAGTTCACATTATTGTACTTGTGTATTTTTTAATATTAAGGCAAAACAAAATAACATATGAACGTTAGCAGCTGGAAGATCATACCAAATACTTACTTACATACATTCATATGTAATTACTACAGTCTACAAATACACATCTCAAATGTAATAATAAATTATAGTTAAATAAATATACTACTTAAATAAATATTTCAAATAATTGTATTATTATTAATTATATTAAATTAAATTTTCAAAATTGGCTTCAGGAAAAGATCAAATACCAAATACTAAAAGTAAAATTTGCAAAAAAAAAAAGTCATGCTCCATTATTTATGACTTTGTTTTCAGAATTTTCAAGTTTAATCAAATGCAAATCATATAATATTTATAGCGCAATTAAATCGTTTTTTTTTTTTCAATTAGAATGCTTGTAAAGAGGGCGCTTGACTCAATCCATTCAGATGTGCAATGTTCGGTTTTCTTACTCTTTTTCACACATAAAAAACACTCACAACAATAATGTTTAGCGTAAAATGCGATAACACTAGCCTACTAACTTTTTTCTTATAAATAATTTTTTTTAGCGTACATACTCATATATTAAATATATTTTTTGGATATAATTATATTTTAATTCGAAAATATAATTTAGCTATGTGGCATCATTAGCCGAATTTCATGTGGAAGATCATTTTTCTGATTGCTGTCGCCCCTCGATAGAGAGTGTCAACTCCTCCTAAGCTCTTCACAAAAATCAAAAAACTACACTTCTTCCAAATAGTTGGTTACAGGAAGAGCTCGACCAAAAATAGCTGAACCGCAGAAAGATAAATAGCCAATTATAGATAAACGTTTAAGACTCTAAACCCAGTATTTTTGATTTGAAGGTAATAGCTTTACCTAAGATTAAATTGAATGCATGACCTGGTTGAAAGACAATCCCACCACTTGTAGGAAAACCCTGCGAAGAAAAATTCTAATTTTCAAACAAAATCTGAATCTAACTGGCAGACATTTTTACACTGAAAGTTTCATTCCATCTGTTTTCCATGTAAAGAAGTGATAGTTTTAACACGTCAATCTCTTACGAGCTGTCAATTGTCTGAGTATGCATCAGCTTTATATTAGTTACATATTAATTCCTTTACTTCATAGAAAAAAATCAGAAATTTTTTTGCCTTTAGCCACCCCGTTATCCTGATGATGTAGCCTCAGCCGTCATTTTGCACACTCCAACAGAACCTAACAGAAAATGGAACTAAGCGGGGAATCGCTACACATAAAAACAACACACATTGGAAGAAATTATTATTACTTCCCTATTGGTGAATTACTACACATGTAATCGACCGGTATGATTTCTTCTTCATAATACTAGCATTTACCTAGAATTTTCGCATATTAGTCAGCCCTCCTGCTACAGGGAAATATTAAGACGCACACTACGGGACGGGAAGTAACCAAATCATGGGAGAACCACTGCTGGTCTTCGGTTCTTAAGAGATAGAAGAGTAGCAGTGGTTCTCCCATGATTTAGGAACCTCTCAAACATCTATGCCGAATTTTTTCGAACTTTTGCTCTGCAGCTATGCCTTTATTTTATTCAATTATAATGAAATTCTGTCGAATCATACCGAATCAATCAGAGCACTCCTTCTGATAGCTACTGAGTTGTGGCGTTCCACTTTTTAATTGATTGAGATTGAAATCTACACTGACACTGAATTTATTTATTTATTACACTGGAATTGATTGCCTTTGATTCGTAAAAGGTTTGGGTATGAGGTGTAAGTGAGTAAATTATAATATACATAAATATAATATAAGGAGACTGATTACATAAAAACCGTATATTTCAATTTTATTCTACAAATCTGCCATTCCCTTCAAAATAGTCCCCTTGGGCAGCAGCGCGTTTTCCATACTTCGTAACATCAATTGACTCAAAATGGGTTCCTTTGACCACCGATTTTGTTCTAGGGAACAAGAAAAAAGTCACAGGGTAACATATCGGGAGAATAAGGCAGTTGTTGCAATACGGCGATCCCTTTAGAGGCCAAATACTGGAACACGCTGACGGTGGTGTGGCACGGCGCGTTGTCGTGATGAACAATCCAGTTACGAGCGATGCCTAGGCGGACCTTGTTGAGTCGTTTTCGCAATCTATCGATTACTTGGCGATAGTAATTTGTCGCAAAATTTTATTGCGACGAGTTGCTCTTGATTTCGATTTTCTATTTGCTTGACGAGCATTACGAACACACATTTACTCAACGCCACACAGCAGGCGAACTAAACAAACCAGAGCGATGAAAAATATATCAAGGGAAGAGAAGGACGCCGGGAGAAGGGAAAGGGAATTTCAAGGTCGCAGGGTTACCACAATCACGGCAATGTAAACAGTCTCAATACTTAATTGTCACTCCTCGTATGAACTGACCCACCTAGATGCCGGCTATTTTTGGTTAACTAAATAACAGATTTCCTCATATGGTTATACACGTTGTGCAACTGATGAGTCACTTTCAATAACACGGGTGGTCAGCTAATCTACAAGTTTACAAATACATTAATTTGAAGCCGATTACTGCAAAATTAACCGTCGTTTAACCATACAAAAGCTCATAATACCATTTCAATAGAAAAGTTTGAGCTGCAAATACAGTAACCAACAGTAAATATGATATTGTAGCTAAAAAAAAAAACTATTACAAACTATTTATTGCACAGTGTTAACGGCACTTCAACAACTTGAACCGGTCACTTGTTTTTTAGTTGCCTTTTTAGTTAATGACAGTATCAATGAACAAGCTTATCGCGAGAGATAAAGCATGGAAAGAGCACAACTGGAGCAAGTACGAGCTTACAAATAATTGTGAACAAAACACTCGACGGGGGTCAGTTTATTTTTAACAGCCACCAGCTGCTGTAGCGTTTTAGCGCGCAATAGTGAATAGTAAAGCGATAACAAGAAAACGAAGCATTAGCAGTGTGTGTGGCGAAGACAAGCCCCCTTTATTATTTTTTTTTTATGGTCTAAGTTGGTCAAACGAACGACAAAAAGACGAAAAACAAAAATCGGAGATATGAATGTTTTGGCGATAATCGCGTTCGCGCTTTGGGCGCTTTTCATGCGCTATTTGCCGAATATTTTACAGTTCATGCGCGTACGACAGTTTGCGTCCACAATACCAGGTCCCAGTATAGGTGAACTAATTGAGAATGCTAAAAAAGGGCGTAAGTGGAAAATTTTTTAAATATTTTAATAAATAATAAGTGAAATTTATAAATTTAAGATATAATAATATAAAACAAATTAAAGTAATTAATAAATAAGAAAATTAAAATTAAACGGAATGAAGTGAGAAAGAAATAAATTACAATAAATCAAATTAAATTAGATTAAATAAATATATTCGATAAAATAAATAAATCAAAAGAGAAAGGAATACAAAAAATAAAACAAAATCAAATAACATGAAATAAAATAAAAAATATCAATTTATAAAAAATCAAATAAAATAATATTTAATGGTACATATAAAACGAAATTAAACAAAAAGATTAAATAATACAAAAAAATTAGATGAAATATAATAAAAAAGCTGAAAAAAGGCATAATTTAAACTAAAATAAACAAACTTAAATAAAATAACATGAAATACATAATAATGAAAAATTGAGCAGAATTTAATGAAATGAAATAAATTAAACTAGAATACAATAAAAGCTAAGTTTTCTAAAAAATACAAACCGATAATAAAATAAGTAAATTACAAATAAATAAATAAAAAGAAAACAAAATAAAACAAAATGATATAAGTAAAAGAAAATAAAGTGAGATAATAATCATTATAATAACAATAAATTAAAATAAAGCGAAATCAAATGAAACAAACAAGTAAATAGAAAAGAATTTATTAAATGAATAAAAAAATTAATTAACAGGGTCAATGCGTTAGAATATTCATAAAAATCGAGAGGTACAGATTATCGCGGGAACATACAGCGAATACCACACGAATGTAGAAGACAACTAGCTAGCACTAGCGAGGCTATCACAATCGACTGTCCCGGACCCTCTTGATTAAAACAGTGAACCAACTAGGAATACTTAAGATCTTGGAACTCTTCCAACGCAGGAAGTACCACAAAATTATTGTGGTGCGGCGTGGATAGTACACAGATATTCTTAAGTGACATGCATTAAGAAAAAGACAACTTAATATTCTTATTGGTGTATTGACAAAGTATATACCTCAGATATACGATCTCAATAAGCTAGGTTTACTACGGTATGCAGAGCATGCACAGAGAACGACGAAACGCTGGAGCACACCTTAGCAAGTATTCGAACTTCAGCCGACATAGACGACATCATTGATCAAAAAAAAATAAGATAAGGAAGAATAAATAATTAATAAGCTAATAAATTTACAAAATAAAATTAAATGATTTAGAGCTAAATACAATAGAAAAATAAAAGATATAAAATACATTATAAGGAATAAAATAAGTTTGAAAATGTAAAACATATAATTCTAACAACAAAATTAAATGAAAAAAAATTCAAAAAATGAAAATAAAATAATATAGAATGAAATTGAATAAAAATTATAAATGTAGACATAATTAAATGAAATGGAAAACAAAATAAAAAAACGCAAAGAATAAAAGAGAAAAAATTGTAAATTATAATTATATAAAAGTATAAAAAAAATAATTAAAAAAAAATACTAAAATAAAGTCCACAACATAAAAATAAAATAAAAATATATGAAAATAAGAAAAACAAAAAAAATTCAATGAAATAAATTTAATTATAAATAAAATAATGAAAAAGAAAATTAATTAATTGGAATTAAAAAGACAATCAAAAAACATAATATAAAATGTGATACAAAAATTAAAATAAAAAATGAAATAAATAAAATCCACAAAATAAAATTAGAAAATAATATACAATATATAATTTATAAAAATGTAATGAAAGAATGTAAAAAGATAAAATCAAATAAAATCCACAATATAATATAAAACTAAAAAAGAAGGCAAATAAAATATTATAAATATAGCAAGTAGAAAATATTAAATGAAATTGAATGAAAGAACTTAAATAAATTAACTTAAATTAAATGGAAAAGAATTAAAAATAAAATAAAATCACATCCACAAAATTTAATAAAGGAAAAAAATATTAACAAAAATGAAATAAAAAATTATTTAAAATAAAATATATTAGAAAATACAGTCAAATGAACTCCACAAAAAAATATAAAATGAAAAAATATAAATGAAGCGAAAAATTCTACGTCTTATTTATTTATTTTTTATTACGTGTCCCACTAAAAGTGTGCAATTAAAATGTTTTATTAAACTTGATTGAAGGCGTATACAACTTGAAAAACATATATTCACTTGTAGGTTTGTATGTATGAACAGAAGTAGAAGAAGAAGAATTATTATAATGGAAAATTGCGCGATTCTGAATTAATAAAACTAATTCATAAATATGCATATGCAAACCAATATATTGCATTGAGCTTTTAGAATAATTGAATTTAAATTGCATTTCCATTGAGATTGCAAATAGCAATGCCAACACGTCTGAGCAAATTTACATACATGGGTGTACATATGTGTAAGTGTCAATATTGGTTTACAAATTAGAAGTCCATTTAGAAATATTACATGAGAAACTTTTCTCTTGATTATAATGCTACTGATTTTGATATTTGTTATTTCTTTTTTTTATTACATCTGATGGCAAAGTCCAATAATATTTTTCTTTTGTTTAGAAAGGAGTGCACAAATGTATGTGAATTCGAAATTGCACATTCACTCAGCGTTCTCAACATATCACGCTCCAAACCTAAAAAAGGCACAACTAATTTTTTTAACTACGAGTATTTTCATTTTGGAAAATATTCAAGTTAATAATAATAGATTGTAGTGATGAGGCTGGCAAAAGGAGGAATAAAACATTTTAATATTACTTCATTTATGATTTTTGGAGTTATGCCGTTTTCTAATTTTTGTATTGCTAATCAGTGTGTAAATATCAGAATATGCATATTAACTATCTTAGGACAAATATTTATCAAGCGTTGTAGATAATTTTTATGGTAATGCATAAATCAAACGAAAAGGTGTAAAAATTAAATTCGAAATTTCTGTACTGGGTCTCTAGGAATTAAGAGGAAAAATAACAACTCGATAGCAACGTTAAGGGACATCTGTTCCTTTTCATTATAAAAATTAATAACATCAAGTTTTTACCTTAACCTCAAAATATAACCGTAAAATAGGAAAATTCGGCATTCATAACCCATTTTGTGCGGTCAAATCAACAAAGAGAGGATTTCCAAGATTATGCGGAGGGCACTCTCTCTCTCTGGCACGATTGAAACGAATTCTTCGATGGAAAAGTCCTTGAATAAGAAGAAAATGTTTCTATAAGTAAGAATTATGATGTCTCTTGACAAAAGACCGATAATAAAATATGATGACCAAAAATTTATTAATTAAATTAATATATAAATTTTAAAATTTTATGTAGACTTGTGTACTAGGAGGCTCATAATATAGCGAAAATTTTGATTTTTTTTTTAATTAGCTGTTTCTGTGTCTATATTAATATTGCCTCCTCAAAGTAGTGTCCATTAGAGAGTCAACGCTTCTTCTCGAGTCACTTCACAAATTTTATTTTGGAGCTAGTTCAATCAACTTTAAAAGTCCCTTTTGGCTGTGTGAAACAAAAACCTTTTAAGGCATTCTTTCGTTTTGAAAATAATTCCGCAGAACCACCGAATATGATTGTTACAGCGTCTGCTCTTCAATGAGGTTTAGTCATGGAAAATATCCGAATGTTGTAAAAAAAGTGTTGGTACATGAAGTACATATATGTATGCATATATTTTTATGCGTAAATTGATTTACATTATCATATCCGCAGAAAACTGGCTTATATCAACCCAAATTTCATGAAATTATCCCGATAGCCTTTCTAAGTAAAGTTTTCTAATTAATCCCCTACTGGCCTTGAATATAATTCGTATATATTTTTTATTGCCACCAATTCATTTTAAAGACCATAAAATTGCTGTATTGTTTAGATCCTTTAACCATAAATCAATTTATCAGAGAGATAGAGGCAGAAAGTGAATTGCAATGAGTTCGATACGAGAATATTCTTAGAGTATATGAGTATTTAAGAGTATAGACAGGGGGTGTGTTCAAGAGAAATTAAGAGAAATTTGAAATTTCGCTTGCTTGGAGAGTTGTATAAACCAAAAAAGCCATGAAGTCCTTGATTTTGACGTACATAAGGAGTGAAAGGAAAAGTTCCTTATGATTGCCAGAACACAGTTAGAGAATTCCGTGATGATGTTGCCATATCGTTTGGATCAATTCATTACATTTTTGCAATGTTTTGGGTGTAAAGCACGTGGCAGCAAATTTTCTTTCGTTTTGTTGAGTTTTGAATAAAAAACCGGTGTCGAATTGAGGTTACTCAGCAGTTAGTAAGTGAAGTCTACAACAATGTAGAATTATTGAAACGAACTATAATGGCTCGCAAAGACGGAAAAAGTCTACACAAGTATGGCCAAACGAAGAGGTTATTCTCAATAACCGATTTTAATCGCATAGTGCATCATAAATTCCCGGCACTAGTCAAAGAGTAAAAATTACCACCTACAAGGTCAACAACGTTCACGTGAAGCAATCCGAAGAACGACACAGAAGAGCGCTCACTTTTTTGGCATAAACAGTACCGCAACGATGCCTTTCCTTTATATTCGGCAGGTCTTCCTCACTTCTTCCACCAATCTCGCTTGGCTAAAGCCGACTTCTAAGATTCATACGTGGAGCTCGAAAAAACTTCTCATGTAAGCAAAGCTGACGGCAAAAAATAATAGGGCAGCCCTCATCATTAACGTCGTTTCTTTGCTTTATTTTCCCGCGAGTTTCATTGCAGTATGGCGTGGAAAACGTACTTTGATTCGAGCCGATGTAAGTTTTTCCTGATGGCCTCCTTAAGTGCTCATTATTAGTTTGCACCGGAAAATAGGCCCTTAATTTTGAAATATAATTCTACTTCTGGAATAGAATTATCGTTCATAAAAGATTATCACAAGATTGTTTTTCTGTTGTGTAATTCGAGGGAAATTATATATCTCACAGCCTTGAATAATGCTTAAGCGTCTTTCTTTTTGGGGCAGTAAACGGGGCTAGTTCGCTCGAACCACCTCCTTGTATGCTTAAAAGACTCATCTAACATCCTTCTCGCTCTAATCGAAACCCATCCAAATAGCTGGTTTCCTGAACCTCCCATTAGACAACATCGACGACGTAGACCAATATTGACCGCACTTAGGCAGCGTGAAGTACTTTCTTTCGCAGGGAAATATCACCACTAGGGCTAATTGTAATCTCATTTCAGAAATCCTCTTATGGTTGAGCACATTATACAGAAAGCACGGACCAGTTTTTCGCATATGGTTTGGCAAGGATCTGATGGTTTTCTTTGCCGATCCAGAAGATGTGCGCCAAATATTGAGCAGCCACACTCTGTTGAGCAAATCGAAAAACTATGAATTAGTTGAATCGTGGTTGGGTAAGGGATTGCTCACAAGCGCCAATGAAGCTTGGCGTCGTCGCCGGAAATTACTCACTCCTGCGTTCCATTTTCGTATACTCAGCGAATATAAAGAGCCAATAGAGGAGAATTGTAAAATTCTTATAAGCAGATTACGTGAGAAAGCCAATGGCGAACAATTCGATATTTATCCGTACATAACCTTATTCGCTTTGGATTCCATTCTGGAAACGGCAATGGGCATAAAGAAGCATGCGCAAATGCAGAGCGAATCTGAGTATGTGAAGGCGGTGGAAACGTGAGTAAAGGCGTGTGCGTACTACTTTCGAAAACCATTTAACGCTCTTTTTTGTGTCTCTCTGCTTCTTTACAGCATATGTCGCGTTATGCACAAGCGGTCCTTCTCTTTCTGGCAACGTTTCGCTATTCTCTATCGTTTCACCGATGCCTATAAAGAGAGCGCCGAAGCTCTGAAAGTACTGCATGGCGAGACGAATCGCGTTATCAAGTTGCGTCGCCAAATGTTGGAAGAAACAAACATACATAATATGTCGGATGCTGAGAAATCCGAAGATATTGGTGGTAAGCGTCGCCTCGCCTTTTTGGATATGCTACTCATCGCACAGATGGAGGGTGGCGGGTTGACGGACCGTGAAATACGTGAGGAGGTCGACACTTTCCTCTTCGAGGGACACGATACCACGAGCTCAGCCATTGCTTTCTGTATATATTTGCTCTCACAAGATGAACACGTACAACAGCGCGCTTACGAGGAAGCAATGGCCTTGCAAGGTCGTGAGAAAGAATCTATGCGTTATCTGGAAGCGGTTATTAAAGAAACTCTACGACTTTATCCCTCGGTGCCATTTTACTCACGTAAAGTTCAGGAAGATTTACAGATTGGCAAATTAACGGTTCCAAAGGGTGCCTCAGTTAGTACGCTCGCTTATATGGTGCATCGCGATGAAAAGAATTTTCCGAATCCTGAAAAGTTCGATCCTGAGCGCTTTATGGTTGCTGAAAAAGATCTACATCCATTCGCTTTTGTCGCTTTCAGTGCGGGTCCACGCAATTGTATCGGTAAATATGCGTGTTTAATATACTTTTTTACATATTAAACGCTGAAATAAATTTAATTAAAATTCTCTCACTTTTCTTAGGTCAAAAGTTCGCTATGTTGGAATTGAAGCTCGTCCTCTCTTCGCTCTTGCGAAGTTATGAGTTTTTGCCCGTGAAAGATTTCAAACCCAATCCCTTGGCTGAGTTGGTGATGAAGAGTGGTAATGGCATTCAGATACGCATTCGCCCACGCAGTTAGAAACGAATCGAACGCTGTCGCTTTATTCTCATTACTTTCATTTTTTGTTTGGTATCGCAGATATTATTTAACGATAAGTGAAAGGAAAATAAAATTAATAGGAATTAAATATTTTACAACAATAAGAAGTTCAACCAAAATTTCAGTGAAGGTGGGTAAATAAATCCTGGGAGAGCTTCATACTCTGGCAGTTTGCTAGAGACTCTTTCAAACATGCCGCCACCTCGAAATTTCAGGACATCCACCGGGGAGCTAATTTATATTCAGGTTCTGGACCGTTAGAGGCGCTTTAATTTAAGAACTTTAAAGTAAGAACATATCAAGGAGTGGACTGCTTTAAAAACGAAACTTCGGAGGGGACAAAGAAGCAATTGGTTATGTTAAGTAATACAAGGTGTAGTAAAAAACAATGGCAGTTTATGCCGCCTTAAATCTATGTGCCATTGAAGATGACCTTGAGTTATAAGCCCTACAGCATATGGATTGTGTCATTGAAATTGGGAGAAAGCTTTCTACCAACCCATTCACTTCCCATCCCAAATTTCTTTAAATAATTCCTTTTCCATGGGTTCACATCAAATGGTACATCAACTTAATAACGGTTAATAATGAAAATTCGGATTGGAGTGAGTAATTTTCCCGATCAAGGATCCGCTAAGCTGTAACCTATGTAGTCATCTTGTGCGCCCTCCTATTGACCTTGCTGATGAAAACCGATCTTAGCAGGTACTTTGCTAATGAAAGAGGAATGCTCACATCGTATGTAGAATTGACCCCTGTCAGGATGCAGTGTGTGGACAGAAGTAAGTAGTTTGCAACTGATCTTTCTCATTTCTACCAAATTTCAATTATGGTAATGGATCTGTACACGTCGGAGTTTTAGAGGGATAATTGCCCCAAATGGCGTAAATATAAATGCCACCGAGCCCACACGGCTCTGAGAAAATCGTTACATATATCCGTATATATGTGTGCTCACATATTAAATTTCTACCTGGAACTCGCCCAAAACTTTCTACTCTTTATATAATTGCAAATTTATACTCAAAGAATTTCACATCGAGGTGGAAACACAGTACAATTTGAGGTAAGTCCAAGCAGGCTGGCTGATGTGAGATCGGAAAAGGGCAGAGAAAGAAAGATGTTCGAAATATTGACTAGTTTTGTTGGTGATCTATGAAAGGTGGCAGATTGTAAGGTGATAAAATCTAGACCTTCAGCTCAGTGGTACTAATGGAGTTTCGAGCAATAGAAGCAATCAAGAGCTAGTTCTCTTCAACTTCTTCTTCTTCCTTATCTTATTAAAAAAAAGTCTTTCAACCACAAAAGAGCTTTCTTGGGAAATACATTAGGTGTAGTAAAAAGAAATCCATTATTTTTCCAATAGATGACGTTAGTTATCTGTATCTCGCGTTGTATAAGTCCCATCGGGTTCCGCTAGATGGCATTGGAAAGATGACATTTTCTGAGAAAAGAAAGAGAAAATACGCTTTATTTTACTGTTTTTCTTCGATAAGGGCGAAAACGCAAGCGAAACGGCTGAAAATTTGAATAGTGTTTATGGTTCTGATACTGTTACAGTGAGTCATGCAAAATTTCGGTTTCATGCGAAATGTCGATCAAATCATGGACATTGCCTTGTCTGACCGTCATGTAAGCACTGTTTCCATTATCCAAGAGCTAAAGATTGTACGAAACACCGCTTGGAACCATTTGAATGAGGCTGGATGCGAAAAGTAAAAATTAAAGCCTTCAATTTCATGCAAAAATAATGCATTTCTTTTTACTACACCTAATATATACTCGTATTAAAAAATAATATAAATTGATATACAATGAAATCTTAAGTGTTATTAATTTATTTATTTTCGTAAAACAAACTAAATTAATACTAAACTTTCTAGAATGACTCGAATCGAGACCTCAGATTACTAACCGGCCACGTTGACCTTAGGTCAAAGAGGTGAAGCTAGACGCATATAGCATAATGCCTTCAAGAATATGGTGGGAAAAATACCGTAAAAATTTTCGTCAGCTGTCAACATAAATTTACTAATCAATTATGTTGGTTTCAATTTTTATATATGTTTTTTTTATTTACCATTTCTTAATGTTGTTCTTAATGATGTTCAATTATATGTCAATGATTGCATTAATGACCTCAATACTGATTCAAACTCGAAGCCTACAATGAAGTGAAACTTGATAACTCTGTTATTGAATTCGTGGATACTGCCAGAAATCTAGGAATAATCTTCAGTAGAACTTTGTCTTGGAATAACCTCATTTATAGTGCAATAGGTAAGGTTTATGGCATGATTCGTGCTTTATGGACTATTCAGCATTTCACCCTAAAAAAAATTCGATTGCTAACAACAATAGTTTACATGGCTGATGGTCCGTTGGTTCGATCCCTGCATAAGAAGTCCGATGAGGAGATGTGGTGATCTCCGAAACATCTGTCATTTCTACCATTTTCTTTGTTGTATAACAAAATATTAAATTCAATTCAACAAGGCACCCCTCGTAGTTTACTTAATACTTGTATCAAAAAAGACTTTCTTGTTACCGACCGTACTGTATGCTGTGACAGTCTGTGTTGTAGTAAACTCAATGTCCTCTACAATATCAGATGTACAACTTTGCTTCCGCCGTTTTTTTTTTCAAAATTAAAAGCTTTATTGCGAAAAAGTGCTTACAGATATATTATTCAAAGTATTGTCCTTCTCTACCGACTACTTTCTCCTATCTTTCCGGCAATTTTCGCATCCCGGCTCGAAAAAAGGAGTTCTCTTTTGACGCTATACATGAAGCAATCCATTTTGCCAATTCTTCGAAGGATTGAAAATGTTGATCTGCCAGGCCGTGTGCCATCGAACGGAATAGATGGAAGTCAGAAGGAGCGACATCTGGGAAATACGGCAGGTGGGGCAAGACTTCCCATTTCAGCGTTTCCAGGTACTTTTTGACCACTTTTGCGACGTGAGGCCGAGCATTGTCGTGTTGGAGGATGACTTTGACAAGTCTCTCTTGATATTGTGGCCGCTTTTCTTTTAGCGCGCGACTAAGGCGCATCAATTGCGTTCGGTAGCGAAATCCTGTGATGGTTTCACCCGGTTTTAAGAGCTCGTAGTAAATCTTTGAAGGTTTTTTCTCTTCCACCAACATGTTTGTCTTCGACATCGAAATCGCCATTTTTAAAACGTTGAAACCACTCCCGACACGTTACTCAGAGCAGCATCGCCGTAAGTTTCTGAGAGCATTCGATGCGCTTCAGGTGGATTTTTTTTTCAAATTGTAACAGAAAAGTAAAACTTCCTGCAAATGGCGAGAATTAGGCACATAAACTGACATTTTCGAGCGTGAATAATACGAAAACAAGAACAACATCTATATATTTCAACCAGCCTCAGCCGGTACAGCCACCTATCGGAAAACGGCGGAAACAAAGTTGTACACCTGATAACAACGCCAGATATGTATAGGTGTAAAGCGTCGTGAGCACATAAGTACTTTTACATTAAAATTATTTTCCATAAAATTCGACGATTTACTGAAGTTAAAGTGCCTTATGTTAATTCACAAATTTATTAGCTCTCAGGAGCCCCAAAATATCTTTTAGAATGAGTTCAATTCACTAGATCTACCCGATCAATTAACTTCCTTAGCATGAAATACAGTTGCCTGGTATCTGACGTCAGTTCTTGGTTTTTGCTGTTCATCCGTGGAACGCTCTGCCACAAAGGATCAAAAGTACGTTGTGCTTTAGAAACGAACTCCTGCACCACTTTGCATAATCTATTAATTGCTAATCTACAAGCTTATTCTTATATTTCAGATATTGAAAATACTACTTTTTCTTTAATAAAATCCCTCACCCTTAACGTGGTTAAAATGTTTAGAGAGAAAAGGACAGATTTATTCTTTTAATTAAGATTTTATTGTTATGTTTTATTTTAAGTTACTAAAATTAAATTCAAGCATTGCAGAAAAACTTATGGTAGCTGGAGACTTGTGGGGCGATTCTGTAACATTACATTTCATATGGATAGACTGTGCATTTTTATGAACATTTTTAGCACGTTTTTATAAGCTTCACTTGTATATGTATTGACTTACTTCCTTTTCAATGCTCCAATGAGAAATTTTGGCAACGCCTCGGATGAGATACCTCCTTTCTGTTGACTACAACCGCAAACGAATTAAGGATCACGATTTGAGGGCATGCACCTGGAATGTCCAGTCCCTTAATTGGGAAGGTGCCGCTGCCCAGTTGGTTGATGTCCTCGTAAAAATAAAGACCGACATTACCGCCATCCAAGAAGTGCGATAGAGGGCACAAGAACGAAACCGAGTAAGTTCTTGTGACATTTACTACAGCGGCCATATAAAGGAGCGCAAATTTTGGTGTTGGATTTGTGGTGGGAGAGATACTCCGTCGTTCAGTACCGGCATTCACCCCTGTGGATAAGCGTCTCGCCACAATCCGTATCAAAGCGAACTTTTTTAACATTTCGCTAATTTGCGCCCACGCCCCGACGGAAGAGAAGGACGATTTGGCCAAAGATGCCTTTTATGAGCGCCTAGAGTATACTTATGAGCGCTGCCCCCGACATGAAATGAAAATCATGCTTGGCGACTTTAATGCCAGGGTGGTCAAAGAAAGTATCTTTGGTACAAACTGTTGGACAATTCAGCCTTCACAATGAAAAATCCCCTAATGGGTTGAGGCTGATCCCGAAATATGGTTGTCTGTAGTACTAGATTCCAGTACAAGAAATACATCAAGCTACTTGGCTGTCTCCTCATCGAAAAACACAAAACCAGATCGATCATGTTGTGATAGATGGAAGACATGTTTCCACTCCTGCTCTCTGATGGCACTCATCAGCAACTCGGTATACGGGAACTGAGGGACGGCATTTCAAGCTCCCAAAAAGTATGCAGCAAACGAAACTATTGAATTTCGTAAAGGTCGCAAAAACAGCTGGTACGATAAGGACTGCCATGTCGCAGTGGAGAGAAAACAGACTGCCTACCTCGCAACCTTGCGATCGACCACAGCACGTACGGGATGAGGTAGATACCGAGAGATGAAGAGGGAAGCAAGACGCATTTGCAGACA